AACTTTTAAGGGATACGGCTAGTCAGCTAGTCAGCCTCGTGTTCGTATCACAAATCGATCTCGGCTGCATTATTCGTAAGGTCAACGAATAGAAAATACCGTCCCGCGATTTTCATAAAGCGTCAGAATTCGACTTTTCCTGGACGGATTCGCCGAGTACGTCGCTCGAGGAAACGCCCGCGCATGGCATATGCTTCTCGCAGTTTTAATACCGTGCTTATGATTTATGTATCGGGATACATATTGCATCGAATCCTCTTTCGCATTAATGTTGACACTAGGAGCGAAGCGTTTCCCGTTCTCTGCATATGAGAGAGATTTTTATGTCCCGGGCAAAGGCTCGTTCAGACGTAACGATTTTCAACATGATACAATATATCGATATTTTAAATATACCATTTGGTTTTATGGATATTACTCGAGTAACATGAGTCCAATCTATATAAAACTATAAAAGTTTTAGAATACTGATTGTAATCTGTATATAATAATTTATGTAATCTGTAGAAGAATAACAAACTCGCAAGATGTGCAATTTTTTTGTCATCAAGGAAGAAAGTTTTTTTTGATTTTATTTATTATATAAAAAAATTTTTTTTGATAAATCATATTATTGCATAATTTAGTAATATTATGTGTTACATACAGATGTTTTTATGTTTTTTTTTACACTTTCTTATTTAAGAGTGACGATCTACGCTATAGCATCAAACCGCGATCGTAATTCAAGGTGATCGAAGTGAAAGGCCTATGAGCCATTCTGCCAGGGATCGCGAGTTTATCGTAGGGGAGGTTACAAAAGCTACTCAACGGAAGAGCTTTAAAAATGAGGAGCTCCGCACCAGAATACAGAGGAAATTTCAGGGAAGCCGAAGCGGTCATAATCTTGACTGATGCGAGCATTCGTCACTCGTTAAATTTCCCCCTCCCCCTCCCCCCCCCGGGCACGAACCTGACGAATATCCCAACGGAATAGAGTTGCAAATTAGGACTCTGTTACATCGCTCGTTTTCCTTCTTTTAAAAGAGTCTTCGTTGGCATCCGGAGGAGAACAAGCTCGACTCGGGGTTGCTTGATAATGCTTCTAAATTTTCGTTATTATGCGATGGAAGGCAGCCTGGTATGCCGGTGTGTAAACGAGTTAAAGTAAGAGAAACGGTCATACGGAGGAGACAGTCGCCATTGTGCCTGGTAATTTGCTACGTCCTCCATCCTCCGTCTTTATACTCGCGAGTCCTAACAAATGCGTCACCTTAAGCACTGCTACTCGTGACTGTGATCTATCGCTCACAACGCCGACATTGGTAATGGCGGTTTGCGTTCTAACGTTTCCTCGTCCAAGTTTATTGAGCGCGAAACATTTCTGATAAATACTCGTGCTAGAAACGAGGAGCTCTTCTTGAAAGAGCTTACGCTCGCGGCATCACGGAAAATTTTAAGAGATTTTTAACGAGGACTTTCAAGAATTGAATCTCTGAAAGCGGCGACTATTCGTATTATTTCGTGTACGGTAATTCATCGCATTTAACGTCGTCAGGTGTTGCCAGCGCGACTCGAATAAGGCGACTCGAAAAGGAAAGGAAATCAAAGCCGTCTCTGCACAATGCGCTCTCTTACCGAGCGTAAACTCGGTTTATTCTGCGGTAAGGAGGATACAATGCCGAATCCATTCCGCGCACATTCGGTAGACAAACAATAATTACAGAGACCTCGGTCCCTCGGATGGCGCTCCGGGAAAATACTGATGCAATCTCGAGTGCAGCGCCTGGCCGGCCTCGACGGAGGAAGAGCCGCGCTTTTATTTCCCCGGGAAACGGAAAACGACGTTAAGTTGGGACGGCCGCCGGTGCAGTGGTGCATGTACACCATCCACCATTTCTGTCTCTTTCGAGAACGCCCTTCTCCACGCACATTTGGCGCTCCTTTTATATTATTAAGTTCCTAACGTACTGAAAAGAGAACGGCAGGCTGAACTCATGCGCGACACCGGATACACGTTTCACAGCCGTCGGGGATAACTATTTTCGCCATAGCGACGCCTGATATCGTCGAGAATCTCACGAAATTGTCGCAATAAGTGTGCCTCGCGTCGCGATACGCTGTGTGTGTGTGTGTGTGTGTGTGTGTGTGTGTGTGTGTGTGTGTATGTATGTGTGTGTGTGTGTGTATGTATGTGTGTACTGCACGCATTCTTTTCTTACGTAAGCTAGTAGAAGATGATGGAAACTGGAGCAATCTTATCCTCACATTTTCTTTAAAAATATAAATCTATATTAAAATTTCAATTAGTAAGCCTTTCAATTAGTAAGTTTTTCAATTAGTAAATTTTTTAAAATTCAGCAATATATTTTTAAGATAGTAATTTTCTAGTCTGTTCGAGAGAAAAAGGGAGAAAAATATGTTGCTAATTATCTGTGTTTCGGGAGTTAATAAAATCGAATGGATGACTGTAATGAAAATTTTGATCCTACGTGATCCTGGTGATAGTCCTTTTTTTTCTCGCTTTTCTTAATTTTCTCCTTTTACGCGCGAGATAACAAGCTACCGATGAGTATAGTTGTGATCGTACTCATTCGCGAGACATTCTGGGAAAGACCGAGTTCTCCTATTTAGGGGTCGAGTTTTGTCGTTAAAACGACGGCGATGGCAAGGTGCGAAACATCGCCGAATAAAAAGTCGATGCGCTTTTATGGAATTGAGATGTGCCCAGCGCGGTTATCGGACCCTTCCTGGTTCGTGAGTGCCGAACTACGCGTGTAAGGAGACATTCCTGGCTTCATCGGCAAACCGAGAAAGTTCTGCTTATTTTCGCCGAGCGAAAAGAGAATTTCTTTCTCCGTTTCGTTATTGTCGCGGCTTGTTGCCTATTGTCGACTATCGAGCAAAGCAGACAACTCGTTTCGTCGCGCATGGACGACTTGTCTCTCGGGAGGCAAGAATTGTTCCGGAAAACGATCTTCGTTTATTTTTATTCTTATACAATCGGATCTTTTTTGTTCTATGATTAGCAGGGCGTTCTTGGATCTCGCGTGAGTTTCATGGGCGGCACGCGATTGTCGGATACATTATTATCCTATAAAAGATGAACGATTTATTCGTTTTATTCCCACAGAAGATTTTATTTGACGGACGATTACGTACGCATAAGGCGCTCCATTTATTTTTTTGAAGTTCGCATATACGAAATTGAAAACGCGTATTTGAACGTTAATTTTAGATATCACGTTTAAATCTGAAATGGACTCTAAACTCCGCACTCGCGAAATTGATATCGGCCGCGTCCGCGTATGTAAAGTTACGTTTATGCCATATGAACGTGGACGAGCGAATGGTTTCGTTGTAATGCGAACGATGACGACTGAGAGCGAACTGATCCATTTGCTCGTGTTTGTTAGTATTTCCTCGCAGAATGGTAAACCGGCAAATCATCGAAAGAGATTCGCTAGTTTACCGGTATATATGTACATGAGTGTGTATCATCAGTATGTACGTGTATTTGTGTACATGTAAGCACGCTTCCCATAACAAGTCTACACAGTGAAATTTTGAATTTTAGATGTAATTAAATTTAACAACAGTTCAAAGTTGGAAGACGGCAACCGACAAAAAAGAATTGTTTAATTAAAACACATATTTCTCTGTCTTTGTCTTCTCTGTCTCTGTCTAGAAAAGGGACCGTTGGTCCGAGCATGTATTTCCGATAATTTTTAATAATTTAATAAAAAAATAGTTATTTCTGTCAATTCTTTTGGTGCCGTTCGTGTATTGCAAACGATTGTACGTTTCGAAAACGCGATTGTTATTTTGAGTGCGAATATTAAAGAATAAATTTCTGCGGCACGCCCATTTCTCGACGTTTGTTCGTTCGTACCTGCTGTCGCTGTGCCATTCGCAATAATCGTCGCACTATTATGATATAATAATGCCCTTTACTTTAATACGATATCGCGTCACAGAATTTTGCCACCTCGCACGTAATGCCGCGATATCAAACGATAACTTCCCGACCACTCCGGTTTTTCGAATGCGCCTCTAGCTATTCGAAAATGCAATTTCACTTGAATTTTTAACAATATCAGAGATCGATGCCTTTAACATGACAATACTGTTCTCACATATGCATGAAAATACTTTTGCATTCTTTGCAAGCTTTGCATCCTCGGAATAAAGTATCAAAATTATTCTTTTAATAGATAGGAACTATGATCTGAAAGAGGATTTATAAAAATTTCAAGTCAAAGTGCAACGGAAAAATTAAAGAAAAATGAAACGGACGTTCGCGTGAATTTACAGAGATATTGGAGAATCGGTGAACTAGAGATGGTATCGGATCGATGATATGTCGGTCCGATGATTACACGGAGGATATTTATCGCATCACGGCGATTCGATGATAATGCTCCGATAGGAAACTGTCGCACGAAACGTAAACGCGCATCGTCGCGGGAGCTGTTGTTTCACCGGCGGAGAAATATTTATGTTGCTTACACAATTATTGGGTACGACCTCCTCGGTCGCGAAACGTTCTCCGCGGTGGAAAATAAAACAGCGCAACTTTATGATAGTTCAAATACGTGCTTGCGGCTTTAAAACGGTCGCACTATTCGATCCACCACGTTTATCGCATTCTCAATGATTCTTTACATTGCGAATGATATCGGATGGCCATGAATTCCCAACTATGTACACGATAAAGTTTTTCTATTAACTTGAAATTGCAAGTTTCAATATCTAAAAACAGCAGCTGAATACAATTTAAATAAAACAAATTTTTATTGAATTATTCTTTCGTATAAATTTATGTCTAAGTCTTACTTTAAAAAAAAAAAAAATTTACGTTTTATAAATTTCTATATAATGAAAAAATATTTTGGCTTGGAGCCGAGAGAGATATTTGTCGTGTTATTTGTATCATTCTTGGCGCTTTGTTTGTCACCATAAATATTATGTTTCCAGTTTCCATGTGTGCACATTCATACAGATATATGTATTTCGTGCAGTATTTCTTCAAGCCTATATGACGACCGAAGGGGACGAAATGGTCAGGTGGCTGTGGACGACTGTCAGGAAAGTTATTGGATGTAGTCTGCGGCTTTATGAGATCATCGGAACGGTCGTTCGTCGCGCATCAGTTCATCGCACCAACCGAAATGTCGAGGAAACGCGAAATTAAAACATTTTTATCCGACGTGACGCCAACGACACAGGGTGATGTGGCGATGTTTTATTCGGGTGCCAAGTCGATTTCCTTTTTCTCATAGACATATTACGAGGACATTGACATTTTTATAGTGCACCTCGCATCACGTAATATACGATACTATTTTCGCAACGGCATTTCGTTTCCGTTTGACTGTTACTAAATTTTTGCTAAAAAGTCAAACCACACAACGCACATGATCACGGAATCTAAATTAATTTTACCGGACAGTAGATTAAAATTGATTAAACCTGCTAAGCAGTGTGCACGGTACCGACGTTATTATTTCCTGTTAATTGATGATATCACAACCTACGCGGAAATACTCGACTTTGCGACCCAAACATCCCGTAACGCCGTTTTAATGGAATGAGAGAGCACCGCAACAAAGAGGAGAGAAAAAGAGAAATAAAACCATAACGATCTTTCAAAGGCCAAATCGCGCATAAAGATCAGCTGCTCATAATATTAAACCAAAAAAATGAATATTCTTTAATACTTGCTTGCTCCAATAATTTCAGATCTTAAAGCTCGTAAAGTGATTCTTTTCCGATAACTGTTTGCGTAATATTCGAATGAAATAATATTATCAAACATACACTTGGAATACATAAATTTCTGATCATTTGTCAGAATCTCAGAATTGGAGATTAGATTTTTATCAAGTATATAAGTAACATAAAATGATACGCGATAAGATTTGAAGATATTTTGAGATTTATTTCACAGAATTTTTCTTTCTTTTTTTCGTATCTCTGTTTTTTTTTCTAAATCTCTTCTATAATTTACATTTATTATTATATATCAAACTCTATCTGTTTTAAAACATTAAGAAATATATGCTAGATTACGAAATCGACTAATGATAAAAAAAATAATATTTAATCTGTCGCTGTCAAGTGTGCGTTAATTTATAATTAGCATCTTAATTTCGAAATATGGTGTTTGTCTTCAAACGAGAATTTTAGACGTCATCATTCC